TACAAAAATTACTTTCATAATATATTCTTAATTGTCTTATTCATATATTGATTTCATATACATTTATACAACATTTACATATGCACACTCATACAAATAGTACTTTCATTATATATTCATGATAGACTTGTTCAAAACATTTAATTTATATGTACAAACTACATACACAAACTCATACCAGATGCAATAATGATAGATGTACACATATTTTACAGACATGTATATTCATGCACACAATTACACATATTTTTATCATAACCATAGGTCTTCATATACATTTATATTTCACATTCAGTTTAAACAAGTCTATGGCCATCCTTGTACTTGCCTCATCAAAGTTAACTGGTTGTATTGTTCATAATTTTGCATAATCTATTTTAGACATATTGTCTAAGACTATCTTTGTAATGTCACAAGCCTATGGTCTGTGTACTCATGTTTTTATCTTATTTAGATATTTAACTAAACATTATAAGATCTTCCTTTTTGGTAATTTTTTGAACTTCATCATTTTTTGTTTGTACATATATACAGCCATTGAAGGTCCATGTACTTATTATACTTGAGTGGGTGTCCTTCTTCAGTAGTCTTGCTTCATAAGCTAAATCACTTCTGTATTTTGGTTAAATCCTCATTGATAAAGATGTTTTCATGCTTCTCTTTTAGCTTTTTTCTACCTTTAATAAATTCTGACTTTGCTCTGTAACTAGTGAACTTTACAATGATATCTCTAGTTTTCTGACTGTCTGATTTCTTTTTTCCTAGTCTGTGACAGTTGTCTATGTCTGATTTTGAAATATTTGACCCAATTTTACTTGCAATATCTATCACAATGTCTGTTACGTTCTCACTCTGTTTCTCTGTATAATTACCTATTCTAACATTGTTTTTCCTGCTGTATTGTTCAGCTTCTTCTTGTCTGGTGTTGAGGTCTAGGGTTTTAGATTTTAAAATTTCAATTTCTTTCTTAAGTATGTTAATTTCAGACTTCATTTCAGAGGTTGCATTTGCTACTTGTATATTAACTAATGTTTGTATCTCATCTTTGAGGGCCTCTTTTAAAACTGATGCAATTTTCTCAACATCCTGATCTGAGATATTGGTTGAGTGAGGGCTACTGTTAGTAGAACTACATATAGGGGATGACATTAGGAGTGGATTCTGGAGATGAGGTATCATTGGTGGTCCCATACTATAGATTTGTTGAGGAAACATCGCCATTTCGTCACCTTAGTGCAAAAACTCAATAACTGCATATAGATAAAGAAGCAGATATTGAGTTCTTGCACTAAGGTGACGATTTGTGATACAGGGTTATGACTCTCATTGTTAAAACTTGTGGAACTGAACTCACTAACTGTATTGTCTAAGATATGATTATTTTCTATATTCTCCGTCATTTTAGTTGACTTTTGTTTTGTTTCGTTTTCAATATTAGCAACTTTGGTAAATGTTTTGTTTTGGTTTTCAACTGATTGACAGTTTTGAATTTGTTTGTATTTCTTATCTTGATTATTGTGCTCTTCGGGCGAGGAAACCTTTCTTTTTGTTGAGGATGATCTGCTTCTAATTTGTTTCAGATCGGGTTTAGAACTTACTGCTGCTGTTGCACGTCTAGGTCGTGGACCCATTACATATTTTGATATAATTCAAGCTATAATCTTCATATGTATATATTAAGATTCAAATGTTTCAGATGGTTTGTTTACACAAGTTCACGTATTTCAGATGTATCTTATTTCGGATAAATTATAATATGTGTGTAAAACAGACTCAGATAGTTTCTAAGGATAAATTTCGGCTTTTTACCAATCACAAATTGTACCAAACCCGATTAATACATTTCTAGCAGGCTTTTGTCGTGTGATTCAACCTTCTTTAGCAAATTTTTCACATTTTTTTTTCTGGAAATTCAAATTTGGATGTTACCGGATGTTACGTTTTTTATCCATATCTCGAAGCGGACTTATAAACACAACGGTTTTCTTTTTTGAATAAAAATTGATAATTATTTCCTTACCTTTATTTCATTTAAAACAAGATAATAGTAGTTTACACCAATAACCTTTTATTTGATATTTTCCCTATTTTTCCAATCTTTCCTCCCCCGCTAAATTCCCCTTCTCTCAAACTGATCCTTCCTCCTTTCAGTAGAATATCATAGTTTTTAGCAAATTATTGGCTCTGTTTTGCGTATTATGTTTAAGAAACAGTAATGATTAGTTTAAATGACTATCACACAGTACATTTTTGATCTTTACAATTAAATATTTAAGTTGTCTTGAGTAGATTTTACTCCTTGTAAATTAAAGAGACATTCAAGTTAAAAGTGACTGTCATGATTTTACAAAAACACAATCATGTTTCAAACATTTTTGTGACATTGAATAAAAAAGAATACTACTTTAATTTTGCTGAAGAAGGTCAAAGGGAAACAACTCTCAAGAGGATAAGTTGAAACAAAAAATTGGTTATCTTTTTCAAAATGAAGAATTTAGACAAATCCTTTTATTTTATTTTATGTTTTAGAAAGTCTTTGGAAAATGTTTGCTTTAGGATTATTCTGTATAAATTTGTTTGTATTTCTCTTCTATGTTATAAAAACAGAAACCCCATAAACGTACTACAAATTCTAAATAACACTTCTATACCAGTCATGTTAAAGTATATAAAATTATATGCAAAGAGTTTTTGTAAGGGGCAGTGGGGATGGTTCTCCGACCCTACTCTCCAAATTTGACGGGGGTCAATAAACGGGCAAAACTTGTTTTTGCTGAAATTACAAAAACAAAGTTAATGGTATAGCTTTGGTAAGTAAAATACTGTTGATTTCAAAGGTTATATAATAGCATTGCAAAATTTACCGCTAAACTGTGTCTTATAAGTCGACATACGACATGTGTCAAAGAAGGTAAACCATCTACTAGGAAAGCATTGTTATGCTTAAGTACTAACTAACTTTCAAAATTCCATTTAATTTTGTTAACGTCCATTGTTTTCTTGTTTTGGGCACATTATTCCTTTAGTTTAAGACCATACTCGTACATCATTTTTCATGGAATGGCACGGAAGTGTGACATTGAGGATTCCATGATAACCGTATGAACACATCTGCCAATGTTTCCAAATACAAAATATCAACATTTTCCTATTAATTAAGACGGTGCTAGGGTGCGACATTTTCATTGTTGCCGTTTTGGGCGTTCGTTAGGGAATTCATTTTCACTATTTGATTGATACTTGATCATGCTGTATTTTTTCTTGTGGCTGCATTTGGTACTTAAACTTAGAGTCACAACATCAATGTTAATTTTTATGTGGATCTTAATCAACCACAGTAAAAAGAATGATACACGCATCTTATATTATATGAAACGTATCATATTGGCAGATTATTGCTTCTGCTTTTCTATTCACACACGAAACCAATCCCTAAGAAACATCCTTATAATGCTATTTTATTAACCCAGCAATGCATTAATAGTATTCTGCGTAAGAGTATTGTAAAGTTAACGTATGAATCAAACGGTTATAATATAAGTAAACATGGAATTCATCATTTATTTAGGTAATATCCGACACATATATCAGTTTCTTTTTATGTAATATACGTGAAGATTTATTTTTCATAATTATCACATATGTTAATCAAATCTTTATCTTTTATTAAATATTGAAGCATTTCTAACCAATATGGATTTTAGGCAGAACGTTGCATACACAAAGGGAGGAAATCTGCAAAGACATGTTGAAATAGATAATGTTGAGGTTATTGCCCTTTATATTATGTCGAAACATTTATAAGTTTAAAGCATGGACGATTTTTCAAAGAAATAATCTAACATTTCAACAACAACTGTATATATACAGTCTGCATTTTATTATCTTGATATATTCATATACATAGATGAACGTTAAAATAAGCAAATAATTAGGGTTACTGCATTTGTTAAATCGTGTTAACAACATTATTTTTCATTATTAGCAATACATATTTTTACATGTTTGATGGTGCAATGTCAATGATTTTATCAGAAACAACCGTTTAGGCTCGTATTGTTGAGCTTGTTCTAGTGACATGAGCAAGCTACCATTCACACCCTCTAACACCGGCTACAATTAAATTCAATATTTAAACATCATGATAATGGTGAAATACACCCGTAGACGTCTTAATTACATGCGCGGATCTGGACTGGGAGAAAAGGGAGGGTCTCTCAGATTTGGATTTATAATTGGTTATCAATTTACTTTGTTTGTGAAAAGCTCGCAGAATGAGAGTCTGAAAGGTACCAGAGGTTATGAAGCCTGCATATCACAAAAAGACGTTATAAGAAAAATAAAAAGGGCAACATATCCTAAGAATTACACATTATTTTCTAAGGAATAATGGAACAACCCAACAAGAACATAGCCTAAAATAAATAACTAATTTATAATACAGCACTTTCAGGAAACTGCTTTCTTGATTATGAAAGAAAGTATTAAGCAGTCAATGTTTATATAGATAATATAATAGTCATAATTATTTATTCTAAACTCTGCACATCCTTCCCTTATTTTAAACAGACTCACACCGAGTCAATGCTTTGAAATATTACACGATATATACAAGCACAAGAATCTTAATATGCCATTAACGACATGAGAAGTGATTTCAGTTATTACAGGAATTGACGACGAGAATTATTCAATTTCCAAATGCATGTTCTAATTGAGATATATCACGTTTTCTTGCGTCGCATTACAATTTAATGCATTATTTATTGTTAAAAAGCTTTGTTATTTCCGATTATACTAATTACGCATCAGAACGCGAAATATACTTTGTTCTACAATGTTCAATGCATGGGAGATTGAAATCGATTTGTAATTGGCGTTAATTTACAAAATTGTCTGTTTTTAAGATGAGACAGCGTATGCTTTTTATCATGCTTTTTACACAACTAATTTATACATGAAATGGAAATAGTCCAGAAACAAAAACAAAAGAATGCATTTATAAAAAATTGTTGAAATAAACCACTTTTATTAATTATTTGTATAGATCTATGTAAAACAAATATAAATAACACTCTCTCTTAAAAATAACAAATATTTCAAAATGAATATAAAAATTAAAACACTTTAAATAAAGATAGATTCTATGTCATACTTATAGTTAAACATTTATTTTTAAAAAGTCTAAAGTATATATCGCTTTCTTACATTTGTCGAATTTGTTGGTAGCAAATTATTCTGTCTTTTCGGTCGGCATATTTTTAGGTAACTAAATGTTCGTTTGACTTCTTTCCTAAACGACTTATTGAATATACTATAAATAAAAGGATTGGTAACATTGCTAATCAAATATGACCTAACAACAAAATTGTACAAAAGTTCACTTGTTTCCTTGTCGAATTCCTCTTCTAATTTCATGTTGAAGAAGAGTAGAAGTCTTATTATAATATGAGGTAGGAAACTTAACACAAACACAACAGTGACCGAGAAGAAAACAATAATAGACCCTGCTGATTTGATACAGCGTCTTCCATGAATGTTTGGTCGATTTCTTTCTTTTTCAGAAGTGTTAGAAGCATTACTTTGTCCACTTGAGTGATCGGCCGACAATTTCTTGTTCATTAAAGTTGATGGCGGTGAAGACAATCTGGCAGAGAGCTTACCCATGTCAGGAACCAATTTTCCAGTTTGAAATTTCCAAAGAAGACGTCCGATGATTGTATAGATAACTATAAACACGACAAAGCATCCGAAAAATATTGCTGTTAAACCATAATAGTATATTCTTTTGAACACATTGTTAAAAGTTTTCTCTGAATTCATTGAACATTCACAACCTGTAATGTTCCGATATTCGTATTTTTCGTGCCTCGTTTTTGATCCTGCAAAGAATGCAGATGGCGTTGCTACAAGTATTGCCATCAGGACACACACCGTGCATATAACCTTTGCCTTCTTTGAAGAAAATTCATGAAATGCTTTGCACAAGAAAAAGTATCTCTCAAATGAAATAGATACTAGCACAAAACCCGCGGATAATATTGTTGAATATTCAATGAATCTCATTGCTTTACACAAACCGTCATAATAAAACATGACTTGGTTTCGTAAATCATACATTTCAAACGGAATGACAATAACACAAACAATAAGATCTAATATAGCTAGCGCAAAAATAAATGTTCTTTTGGCAGATGATTTCATTTTACGCCAGTAAATCCAGACTACAAGACTGTTTCCCAAAAATCCGACTATCATAAGTATTCCACAAGTTATAAAAATTGAAATCAAATTGTACGCTGATCTCTCATTTAGCATTACTAGAATTTCATTATTTGACACTTCATTTAATATTTCTTTTAAATGATCCGTTGAAGAATTCTCAACAAAAGTATCATTTTTAAGAGCCTTATCTTGTCCGACAAGGTAAACGTCCAAATTTAATTGCCTTTCCATTTTCCTTTTAATATACAATGATATTTTCAAATGAAGCGATTTAAGATTTTACGTATTGGCGTATTCTTTAGTTTCTATTTAAATGAATCATATTATTTCCCAAAAATTATTCTAGTATTATTATTGTTGTTAAGTGTTCTTTCGTTGAAAACAGCGGAAGAAGCAATAAACTGTCACAATAGGGAAATGTATGAAATCCTTATAGTGATTTTACTGTTATTCAACACAATATCCTTTGATTTACAAACAAAACACTTTTCTATCTTAACGATATCTTGTTTAAGTTTCTTTTTTCCAAATTTCAGAAACACAAATAAGGATATAATATTCTATTTTTATTTTTTTAAAGAAAAGTATGATTAAAAGTAACATAAATATAGATTATCCTTGTACAGTCCATCATAAATAGTTTCTGCAATATTCTACTTCAATATCCGGCGTATTGTGATTGACAGTCACGTGATGATCAGCAGATATCTATGGAACACATCACGGCTTTAATCATCGATATGTCTGAAATAGAAATTGAAATTCTGATTACATCGGGCAACTCTATTTGCAACAATTCAAGAACCATGTTCCATGACTTCATGGGTACTAGATATAACAAGGAATACAGTGATTAATTGATTTTCAACCATGTTTGACCTCGGGGTTCCATTTAATCACGTATATTGTCTTCTTCTTTTGATTAACTCTTAATAAACATAGCAACAAGTATTGTGTTGTTGCATTTTGTTTATTTTTTTTAAAATTCCTGATTGTCTTAATTTTTAAAAAAATATTAGCTTATTGGTGAATATAGCTGTCTCATTGAGAAATTTAAAACATTAACTGTTTAATTGGTATAGTATATAATACATTAATTTATCATGAACATTAATATGACAATTAATAATTATAATCATGAATATTAATAACATACAGTTTGAAAAAGCGATACTAAGTTACAAAAAAGAAAAAAGTCCGATCAATGAAAATATTTTTTTTACATTGTTGGTCTGTTCTCGAGCATATAAAAGTCCTGAAATAATCCATACTAAATTTAAATAAAAAGAATATTGTCCGAAAAAAAACTTTACTGATTGTATATAATATTTACTAAAATAGTAAATCTTTATCTTAAGTGAATAACAAACCTTTTCATAAATGCAATTCAAATAATATATCAAAGGTGTTTACTTGTTAATGTTCACATATATGATAAATAAACTTCAACGATGTTTAGTTTAAGCTCAACGTATTAAGTGTTATTGTATGACTATTTGTTACATGTTTTAAAGTGTCCTATCATATATTCATCCTGTTTTGGTGCATGTTTTATTACTTAAAACATGATGAAAATTAACATTGAACCGTTCGTCCTTTCATGATTTCAAGTGGTGTTTGTTATTTCCCAACGACGCAAATCCTGTATACTGTCTATTTAACAGGAAGTTTTTTTGGTCAAATAAGTAATTATACTACTATTCAACTGTTAATATACTACAAAACTGAAATGAAAACAAACTTAGTTTAAGTTTTAATATTATGTATACTATGTTACCATATCGATACATGTGCTTTGTAATGATCATCTAAATCATTTCTGTATTGGTATTACGTGTATAACGCATAAACACAATAATCTGTTATTCTTATAAACTTGTTGTTGTTGTTGTTGTTGTTGATGTTGTTGTTGTCTGTTAAAGACATTTATTAAAATGTTACACGTAATGTAAACAACTTATTCATTTGAAACAACCTTACTGATAGTATATTAACAGTTTTAATTGAGTTCACATTTATTAAACAAGGTAATGATACAAATATCAAATTTAATCAATTTTAAATGTGATTATTATACTATATTGATAAATTAATGACACATTTAACTTTTAATTAATTGGAAGGGAAACATACTTTACAGTTCACAAGTACTTTTATGCTCTTGGGTATATGGTTTATAACTTTTGTTCTGGAACATTGATTTTTGCTCCTGTTTTGCAATAAGCTGATAAGTCCAGCTATGAGCTTGAATGATTGACGACGGCAGATCATTGAAAAATATATCCATTATGTGAGGAAATGTTTCAGGCAATTTAAGTGGTTCAATCAATCAAGACCAGCAAAATTGATGATTTAACTCTGATCTCAATCAGTATCATGTTTTACATCAAATGACAGAGATGTAATAAAAAGGTAAAGTTCCGGCATGTAATACACCACAATAGAAATATTTGTTTGTTTACAATTTAACATTTCTTTCCATACAGATTTCAAAATTTTAAAGCTAGAGGAGGGTATCAAAATTACCTAAATTGTCCACATTATTGTACCATGTGTCCGGACAGATAGGTACATGACGTTGATGAAATCCAAATAAAAGCTTTTGTGTTTTTAATTCTTTTTTTTAAAACATTACAAATGTATAAACAAATTTCAGCAGCAAAAACGCTAAAGTTTTGGATCTTCAAGTTATTACAAATGATTTGCTCTATAGCTAGTATAAGAGGTTAGGTATTTCACTGTTGACGTCAAAATTTTCAACGTTAACTTTCTTGAAATAGACATTTAGATATTACCGTTTACGAAGGTAGACATCAAATTTAATTTCTTCATCATAGAAGAAACATTCCTTTATTTTTGATAAAAAAGCGCGACTGATTGATCGACAAGCAACAAACAAAGAAAAAAAAAACGCAATTAAATCAGGCATTATCGGGGCCGTCCGGGTTTGATGGTCATCCGGTTTTGGTGGTCCCCAACCAGTAAATAATTTTAGGAATAATAATTGAAGGAATATATTCAGATGGTTGTAGTTTTAGTATGATTCTACCACCCTTCACATTATTCCCTTATCAAACATATAGGAAATGCAAGTGAATAATTAGACAATAATCGATATAATTATGCTTAACATAAAAACGAATGCTTACACGTCATAATTATGACGTCAGATATGACGTATGACGTCAGATATGACGTCAAAAAAAACCAAATAACGTCAGGAAAAATACGTCTAGCTCAATGTAGTTCAACATATTTTATTATTATGTTAGAATGGAAACAGATATTTTTTCTGGCATTAAGATATAATTATGCACGGTTTATCATTCAAATGCTTTACAATTAATCAGTCAGGCATATATCTCCCTTCGGGGTTACATTGTGTGCATTTGAAAAATAAGTTAGATTATAAAATGACTGCCCCACTATTTTTAAGGTTTGAGAGTTACTGGTTCATTTTGAAAAATATTTATATACATTTCAATTGGTCAAATGGATTATTTAGTATTCATCCATAGTAGAATATAAAATTGATTTCAAATACAAAGTATGACACAAATGTCAAGCTATTTTTTATCTGTTCACTGACCATTTACATTTGAATGGGCATAATCTCACTTTAAGGGTTTTGATCTTTAAGTAATTTTCGAGATCACTGTCTAGTACGTCGACGGAAAAAAATAGACGGAACACAGTATAAATGTTTATGATTCAATATAAACTAAGCATAGTAAAACATATCCAATATAAATTTTGTCAAAGCGTCCCTAGACACATAAGTCTATTAAAATTCCCTTTATGCTAGTTCAAAACATGCACACGATTCCACATGCAAATCAATAATCAACACACTGATAATCATTTTCGGATTTTAATTTCTAATTTAATTCTCTAATGTAGCATCCTGTATGATGGAATTGAATAGATTGTGAAAGATTTCATATGCCAATACATTTTCTATTGTCCACAGTTTATTGAATACCTTAATAACTGATTTTATTTTGTGATTTCAATAAAAACTAAATGAACTGATACATAATGAGAGAAATGGAGGTTTAGTGCACTAGAGGTCAATCTGGTTACTAAGTGCAAGTACAACAATCTTATTAGTCCTTACTTTATGATATCATAATTATAATTTATAGAAAGAGCATCGAAACACGAGGCTATCTGATTTGTACGAGGGGGCATAGCCCCCGAGTATTAATCAGATTCCCAAGTGTGTTGATGTTCTTTCTCTTTTGTATCATAGTCAAACATAAAAACACGTTCCCTGTTGTCACAATATGAAACTCCAGAAAAAAGTAACCAGTGAACGAGCAGCTTTCCCTTTCCGTGTCGTCACAATAAGTAAACCGCACCAAAAATGAGCCAATCAATGGACATGCTCTGGAGTGCGGGTAACTAATACCTGTACTCAAGTTAACGCACTGGGCATGTATATGTATACGATTTAACTCTGACACATTTTCAACAGAATGGTCTCAAAAAGGAATTGCAAAACCCTTAACGCAGGTAAAATAAATCAAATCAATCTTTATTTTTGTGTTTTATGCGTTTATTATGCATCTTATTTATGCATATATAGCCATTTAAAGAATTGGATAGAATAATCCGATAGCACTTTAGAATGTTATTCACTTGACATAACTTGTAAGATGATTATGTATATTTTATAAGAAAAAGTTTAAATTTGATCTTAATGCTCAGAAAAGTCAAAATGATTTCGAACCTGGCAAAATTGAAAATGTTATAGGATTAGCATAACAACATTATTTAATATAGGGTAATAAAAATATAGGTTTATATTCATATTTTTATTAGAATATTACAAGTTTTTAACAGATTGGTAAGAAAGAAAAAAAATAGATATGAAATTCGGATAAAGTTATATCTTTATATTTCAATTGAGGATTTAAAGATTTTAATATGTTTACGACTTTTTTGTAAATCGGATTAAATACCCACCCCGCCGCCCCTCCCGTTTTAAGTAGATATGCAAGAACACAATGCAATGACAATCAACAATGAAATCCATCTCATATTAATAAAACTTTAATAGGGACAAAAATTTGATTTGGTTTTCTTAAAAAGTATATATATGTGACTAATCAGCATAGCACACACTATTTGCAACTGACAAAACAATATAGATGTACTATATATGCGGTTTATACATTCAAAATTATATTTTGCGAAAAAAACAAACAAGTGTCGCTTATTATACTTATTATATTAAAAATATATTTACTTTGCGCTATTCGGACTACCAGGAAGAAACAAAATCTGATCACGCGATCTTCATTGGACCATTTAGCGTTTAAGGACATTAAGTGTTGTATTACGTAATTCCTGTTTAAAGTTTGAAAAGTGTCTGCCTTAAAGGAAGTTGCTTCCTTATTGTTTTTATGAAAAATTCACCTCAGTAAGTCCTTGTTTTTTTATGATTTTACATCCGGAACATTTATATAGCAACGTTTGCTGTTAAAGAAAATATCAGTAATATTAACATAAACTAAATTTTGTAAGAATGCCATTATTTGGTTTATATTAAAGCGATGTCAAAAGAAGGCAATATTAATCTATAACTTTCATTCACTAAATGAACTGAGTTTATTTCATTCAAAATTAATTCTTTTTGTTGAAACATGGCAGAGAATATATCAGATAAGATTTTAACATATCAACTACGGAAATGAAATTTGTATTCATTTTGAAATGTGTAGTAATGTAATGAAATTTTTTTTTGTGAACAAAATTCAATTTCTCGAGGAGTTGCAATAAGTTAATGAAAAGTTAAGTAAATAATCATCAATTTCAAACGTCGTGGATGCAATTTGCAAAGTAGGAAAATATACCTGGTTTGCTAAAACTAATTGTCAATTATTTTTGTAAACATTCTTTGAATGAATGTCCTGATACTTGAGAAGTCAAAGGAGGCAAAAAAGCTAAAAAAAAACACATCAAATTTGAAAAAGATCCACCTGTGCACTTCAAACGGAAATACATGTAAATACAATTGAAGCCACTAGTCATAACAAACTAAGAACAACATGTGTTAAAAATAAAAATAGAAACTGTTTTACATAATGTAAGATATTTGATATGTGAAATTAAACCCTAAAGAAACAGAACTCGTTCTTTTAGACTGTAAATTCATATTTGCTTTTAAATTTGTAAGAGGGTACAATGAATTTGTACAATATCACAAGGATAAAACATTATTTAACAGTCTGTTATAAGGTTAAAATGAAAAGCGTTTTCTAACATTACTTTTAGAGTCTCACGTTTTATTATCTAGAAAAATCTTTCAAACATGTTTTAATACCTTAACCATTTTGAAATGTTTAATGTACTAGTACAATTCATTGCCAAAATATTAATGTTTCTTCTAATTCTTCAATGAACTAAGAAATATAGCTATGAACCGAAATGTATGACTAACACAAGTCATTGATGAATATAACGAGTTCTAAAGTGGTTCAAGTCAACCATGTCTAACAGATATACAAATGTATGTTTTTAAACTTAGTACAATTCGTGAATTGTTAAACATTCTATGATAGATA